TAATGAATAAATAAATCTTAAAAAGAAAAAAAAACAAACAAAAAAAGAAACAACTGAGTATCAGAGACTCCTGTTTGCTTTTTAAACTAACCCAAACAGTGAGAGGCAGGGAATGAGGTAATACGCCAACAGTGAGCTTATCTGCCCAAATATAACAATGAACTTTAAATATGAGGATGTGATCTAAGAAAAATACTATATTAAATGATACAATTTTCTTATTATATGAAAGCAATGTGGATTGCAGTGCCTGTGGTTGTAGAATGATTTATAATATTATGTGAGCTTAAAAGAACGGGTCACTACAGAGGCACAGTAGCTACTTGGAGTCTAACTCTGACACTGGATAGTGAGTACATTGGGTGACACATTCAGTTCTCTGAGCTCACATTTTTCATCTCTAGAAGTCATTTTCTCCCTATGTCTATAAGGCAGATGTCTATAAGGTCCATGCTGTCTATAAGGTACAGGAAGGTACCCGTCGCACCAAAGTGTAACAATCCCCTGCACAGACTGGGGGACAGAGTAACCAGGCCACAGGCACCCTGCATTCTGTGATGGGTGCTGCAGCTCGGAGACTGAGATCTGACCATATACCAGATCCCTGGAGTTGGGAAATAGCTACCTCTGCCGGGGATGGGACACGGCTGGTAAAGTGTTTGCGTGAGTGTGTTTTAACAAAGAGCAGAAATGTGTTCTTCAGACTCTGAGGTTTTGACACATTTCAAAGGACTACTCACTGTTTGTTCTATTTTAGTATGACTTCAAGTGACATTGAGGGCACTGCCTTGCTAAGAGCACTCATGAAAAAGAGTGTGTCTCTCATGAGCCTAGCGCTTAAAAACAAGCCATCTAAGCTAATCATGATGACATTTAAATCATACAACACAGGTACCTATGGGTCAGAGTGCATGCCGCCTGTGTGCCCATCCCTAAGTATACTAGAAGCTGGGGGAAACGGAAGTGCGCCCAGAAAACACACCTAATCACTTGAGGTTGAGTAGAAAAATAAAGGACTGTGGGATCTGCCATTCTAGTTAATTAAGCCATCAGCAAAGAAATGGGAGATTAATCATTCCAGCCATTCCTAAAATCTTCAACAAAATCCAATGGGTTAGGGCAGACCATGAGTGTCCTGGAGTGAGGACGTGTTTGACAAGCCCAAGGGCTCTCTCTAAAGATCTGATCTTTCAGCAAACAACTAAGTGCTGGGGAGCTAGCTGAGGACCCTAAGAAGGCCACTGTTGACATAATGGAGTCAGCGGGAAAAACAGAACACCAAGTCAGAAAGAAACACAGAAGCAGTGAGGTCTTACAGGAGACACGGCTTCTTCCTGCAATGGAAAGCAGCCACCAAATGGCGTGAGCAGAGGATTGCAATGGTTTAATGCAGTCACAGCATCCTGCTGGCTGCCACAGAAAAGAACAGTAAGCAGCAGTGTCAGGCAGTCGAGAAGCTTGCTGGTGTCGTGGATTTGGTGGGGTGGCTTAATGAAGGAGATGAATAATGACCACACAGGATGTATCTAGAAATTACACCCTCTGCCTTAGGCCAAGATTCTACTTCCAGGCCTAAAACTTTGGAGGTTCAGTGTCTTATTCTCATAAAAAAAAACGCTATTCCCTTTTATAAGTTCATGTTAAACATGTCACTTCTAAATGATGACAGACTTAATATAGTACCTAGCTTTTCTCTTAAATGGCTCACATTTGTGTGACTAACAGGAGATGAAGTTGCATTTTATCTGGAATGTAATGAATTATTTTATCATTTGTTCCTATTGCAGTTTCTGACTGGAATTCTGTAACTCATGCAATAAATAAATTCAAAATTATCTGTGTAATATTTATCTAGGTTATTTATACATGAAAATCCTTTTATACTTGGTAAGATCCCATACATATTGTCTCTCTCTGTCTCTCTGTCTCTCTCTCTGTCTCTCTCTCTCTCTCTCTCTCTCTCTGTGTGTGTGTGTGTGTGTGTGTGTGTGTGTGTGTCTGTAGTTGAGCAAGTGCTACTGTAAATATGTGGAAATCCAAGGACAAGCTCGGTTGTCAGCCCTCACACTCCGTCATGTTGGAGACAGTCTCTTTTAGTGCTTTATGCCAGGCTTCTTGCTCTTGAGCTTCCGTGGGACTCTCCTGCCTCCTACCCCTCCCATCTCTCCATAGGAGCACTGGCATTACAGAAGCACATCACTATACTTGGTATTGGTGAGTTCCAAGGACCCCCATGGGTATATAACAGAGCCATCTCCCTACTCAACACAATACCTACATGTCTATACACAAAAATAAGCTGGAGTCATGGGATTCATTAAGTATTGCCGTCCTCTGGAAGAAAGACCTCACAGATCTGCTTTTCTTTCTGCTTGTTGTGTTGACGGCACCGTGGACACAGGTCCATGTTTTCCACCCCCACACATTCTGTAAGCCAGTGGGGACAGAAGAGAGCAGTCCACAGCTTCCACTGATGGCTCTAGCTTGCCACGTGTCTCCCTGAGATTGCATATAGCCCATTTATTATTTATAAATTGTTAGCAATGAAGAAATTGGGCTAGAAAATCTAAAACTATTTCTAGTTCTGAAATTTCAAAAGAGCCATTCTAGCTTTCGTACTGTTCCCCTAACCATCACTTGGTTTTTTTATGTTCTTTGAGTGGAAAGTTCCCAGATCTGTGTGAAGTTTAAGTCTCTCTGGTGAGAGTCAGCATCTACGGGAAGCTTTCGCTGGGTGTTCTTTCCTGTCCATCGTGTGTACCTCAGACACCATGCTCAACTCCTCAGCCTTCTCTAGGAAGTAACCTACTTACCTTGCAAGATTCCAAGTCTTTTTGACATGACAATTTCCTCATGTCACCTCCCCTTCGGGCACAGTCGTATGTCATCTTCCATGTCATATGAGCAGAGATCATAGACTCAAGTGAGTTTAATGACTCAAACCCTTGAGAGGAAAGAGCGGTGTCTTTATTCGCGTATGTATGAATGAGCCTCACTTTACAGACTCCACTCTGACATAACAGGTAAATAACAAATGCTACATGAACAAGTGAAAGGAAAACCGTACGATCTACAAATTGCCCATGGCATTACCTTCCTGGTACTATGGTTTGGATATGGCTTGAGTGTTAACCCAAGAGCTCTTGTGTTAGGCAGCTTGTCTGCAGGGTGACAAGATATAGTTTTAAAAGTTGAGGCCTAGTGTGATTTTCTTAGGCCACCTGGGAGTTAATTAATGTAGTTCTCCAGCCTCTGGCTTCCTGTTTCAAGATGTGATCACTCCGTCTCACATGGGCCCTTGCACTGTCTTGTCACCTGTCCTTAGGTCCTTGCCAGAGGCCTACTACACAGGGCTGCCCAGTTTGGAACTTCTGGGACTCCCGAAGTAGCTAACTCTTGCTTCTTTGTTAAGGACCCAGTTTGGAGTGCGCGGTTACGGTAAGGTAAAGCACCTGGCAGCGTGTTCTCCCACAAACCCCTGCCTCTCCCGGTGCCATCTGCTGTCTACTCGCAAGAGTTCCTTGAGCCCAGGCTTCCCTTGTTTGGGTGCGTTGTTCTACTCTAGGTCCTTTCTGGTCCCCATGTCCACGCCTCACACAGTTGCTGTCTCTTTCTTTTTATGCACTGAGGTTAGATTAAAAGAGCGATCAACAGCCGGTTGCCTTCTCCTTCCTCATAAATGATCCAGTTCTCTCTAGGGGGACAATTTACATTTCTTCAATGCCAGCATTTACACAGAGATTAATGTCATTGTGACCAACTGAAAGACGTGCTTTCAGACCTCTATGGTAGATCTGATTCTCAGCTCTCATTCAGTAAGCATACTTAAGCAAATAAGCTTCTGGACTTGAGTCACTGAAGATGTCTCAGTAGCATCACAAAAGCCTCAGGCTCAGCTCAGTACGAAAGAAATGACCAGGATGACTTATATCGGCAGAGACAAGAAGCTTCCTTTGGCATGTAGAGATGGTAGGCTCATCTCTCCTTCCCAGTGTGTGTGTGTGTGTGTGTGTGTGTGTGTGTGTGTGTGTGTGTGTGTGTGTGCGTGCATGTGTGTTTGTGTATATGCATGTGTGTGCTTGTGTATGTGTGTGTGCATGTGTGTGTACACGTGTGTTTATGTTTATGTATGTGTTTGTGTATATGCATGTGTGTGTTTGTGTATGTGTGTGTGCATGTGTGTGTACACGTGTTTGTGTTTATGTGTGTGTTTGTGTATATGTGTGTGCACGTGTGTGTTTGTGCGTGTGTGTGTGTACACGTGTGTTGGATTCACTAGTACTGGAGTAACCGGTAGGACATCAGCATGCAGACGGACGGTGTGTCTGCCCTTTGGGAGAGGTCTTTCTATGAGGGCAGTAGCTATCACACAACCTTGTTGGAGATAACTGTCTAAGGCTGCCTCTGGTTTCTGCCTATTGTCAGTTCCCAGCTATGGTCCTGTCCTGCCATCCTTTTTGGCATTTGTTAATGGAGTCTGGGACAGCTTTTACAGGTTAGTTGAGGACTGGCTTAGCAGCATAATTTAACTTGATTTACAACCTAGTTTAAACCAAATGCACATCAAGAATGACAATAATTATTCTTTCTCTGTATTAAGATCTTATTAAATGCCAGTTATAATTACATAATTACACATTCAACTGCTGAAACACCTCACAATTTAAGCACCCAGCCCATTACAGATGAAGAAGAGAAGAATTAGAGGCTGAGAAGGTCAGTTGAGGTCACACACCAACAGATGGCCAAGTTGAATTTGAACTCCCGTCTGTACAGTTGCTATTTCTCCCACATTTACGTGGCATTTGTCTATGTTTGGAATGAAAGGGGTTCTTGTGGACAGGTGCTTCATTGAAATGGTGACCTGCCGGTTAAAGATGTGGCCTGTTCCTTTGTTAACTTCACTGGAATGCGATTTGGAAGGCCGAGACGGTGCAACCATGGGCATAGTGAATTGAACAGAGAGCTGACTCACTCATGGATGTGTCTTTATCTTCCAGGAAGATTTCCAACCTGAGGCAGCCTCAGAGACCAACTGGGAATCAGTCACAAGCTCTGTCTCTGTGAGTAATTTATTATTCTGTTGCCAGAGAACAAAGCTGCCGGATGAGCTCAGGTCAGCCTCAGAGGGACCGTAACTGCATTAAGAACTCTGGCTTGACTGTAAGCCAGAGCTTGGCCTTTTGAGCTCCCCTGTTTCCTTCAGGCACACCCCTGTTGGCTCCTTTTTAACATTTGCATTTTCAGCAGTCTTTTCAGGCTGGGAAAATCTCAGTGTTTACAGTAAGATGACTTAAGGGAAAATCAGCCATGCACAGCTCTGATTAGGATATAACACATATCTTACCCTGTGGCTGTAAAACGGTTCATGTCTCATTTTTTTTCCTCCAAATTTAGTCATTTCTCAGGATCCTATCCATCCCCTTATCTGCTTTGCATGAGAAGAACAGATCTTGCCTTCACCAATCCTGCATGTAGAACTTATGCAGTAATAAAATACAAGATAATAAGGCCAAGCTCTTCTCAGCCAGGCCTAAGCATGGTGAACGAGTGTCTGTAGTTCTAACCCGGGGCTATGTGGCTGAGTCAGTGGTACTGTTTTTAGGCCAATGCTATTTTTTCTTACTGGGGCAACGTGTTTAATTCCCTCTGCAGCAAGGTTTCAACAAGCCTGCATTCTGTGTCTCTTGAAATCCCCCAATGCGGCTAATCAATTTATATATACATCCTCTGCCTCCAGGGATTGTTGAAAAAAAGGAAGTAAAAAGATTGTAAGAGCAGAGGGAGTGAGTGTCTGCAGAAAAGCAGTATTCTGCAGACATGGTAAGATGGTTACAAACGTAGCCAATAGTGCTGTGATTGCCTGGCAAGATCAAGCATGAGATCAAGTCCCACCAAATCCCTCCTGGGTGGGAAGTGCTCCCCCAGCTGAAGCACTTGGTGGCTTCTGGAGAGTGAAGAGTCGGCTCTCCACTCATAGAGTGGACTATCCTACGCCAGAGAACACCCAGGCAGCACTAAGTGGACTCAATGGGTGTTTAGCTTTTGTTTTTGTCTTTCTAAGAGCCCATGAAATTGGGAGGAAAGGTGCTGAAGGAATAGGGAAGGGCTTAGAAGACACGGGATGGGGAGACAGTTAAAATGAGGGCGATTTTAGCTCAGTTAACATCGTAATTTATCCTCATAAATGTGTAGTGTAAATAGATAATGGAAGCTCAGTGAGACCACATCCTGTGCATGTGTGACATTATTAGGAAATTGAAAGAAACAGTGTGTTAGGGACTAGATAGGAAAAGAGGACTGGGGATGCGGGGCGGTATTGACCCACACACATGTGTGCTTAGCTCAGCGGAGGCCGCTCTGTCAGAGTGAGGCTGGCACTGTGCACACATTCCGCACACGAAGCGGGAGGGCAGAGCACTTATCAGCCCGTGGCTGGTGACACTGAGCACACACCGAAGGGGCTTGGAAGCCAGGGCTGAGGGCCGCAGGGCTCTCCAGCTTCCTTTCTATCTTCCTCTGATGGCTCAAGGTGGTCTGACTACTCCTGCTCTTGAGTGCAGAGCCAAACAGTTTACATGGCCTTTACCTAATGAAGCATTTTAAACAGGGGAAAGATTGGCTTATCCCTTTGGAATATTTGGCAACGTTCAGCCCTGGTCAATATTTACTGAAAACTTCTGGTTTGCATTCTGAGGCTTTGGCCCTGTTGGAAAAGCCTGAGAAGCAAGTGTTCTGTTTGCTTCAGTTAATTCCCTTTAGCGTACAGTGAGCGTGAGTGTTGGTGATACACATGGTACATACATTGGGCATTTTACTCTCGTTTGCCCCCTCCTCTGTTAAAACTGTTTTAGATCTGTTTAGAGTAATGTTAGGACCACTAGACCAACTATCAATTTCTATGTGGACCATATTTTGTCTTGTTAAAACTAAGTCAGATGTTATTTTTATGCAGTGGGTATGCTTTTGTGGTAATTTTAATTCAACTGACATCTAATTTAACATTCTAATTTATCTTTATAAACATATAACAGAATCCCAATGCAACCAAATGCTCGGTGCAGCCGAAGGAGATACATGTAAGTGGCTCTCTCAACTTTTTTTTAAATATTCACTTCAGAAACAAATATTCTTGTAGACTTGTTAGGTCAGTTAATGTGTTCCTAGCTATGATCCTGTGTCTGTCAACTCCCTAAGTGAAACCTGGAAACCAGCCATGAACCTCACGCAGAGGACTCAATTCTATGTGCGGCATGAACTTTTGCTCCAGCTCCTGGTTAGAGGGGACTCTGTGGCCTCAGCTCACCCTGCCTCCCTCTCAGGACTGAGAATCCCTTAAGAGCTCCTTCTGGGAGAAATGTTTGGCTACACAGCAACACTCCAGGCATTGTTGAGAGCCACCTGAGGATGCTTCTTGAAGCCACTTTCCCCAGAGCGCTAGCAAAAGGCTTTTCTACCTGTGTGTAAATGGCTTGATTGATGTTCTTTTACTTCAAAGCTTTTAAATGCTAAAAATCTCATAACTTTGGTCAACTCATTTTGATTTGTGGGGCAACAGACCTCCATTGTGATAAAAGGCTAATTGTGTGGTGAACATGAACCCCTGGAGATGGAGAGAGCAATTGTAAGTTATCCTTATGGAGTGAATGGACATTTGTAACTATAGTGTGACTTGTAAGTGTTACATGCCCATAGCATGTGAGTATCAAGAGAATTGTAGAAGGCAAAATCAAGTCATGTGACTCTATCAGAGTTCAGCTCATGTCACATACACGCGCGCGCGCGCACACACACACATACACACACACCTAATTTAAAGAACTAGCCTGTCAATAACTGAAGGAACAGGGCTAGGGAGCTAGTTCCACAGTTAAGAGCAATCGCTGCTCTTACAGAAGACCCAGGTTAAGTTCCCTGTACCCACTGTGGTGGTTTACAGCCAAACATAGCTCCAGTTCCAGGGACTCTGACCTCTTTGGTCCCCAGGCATGTATGAGGTACATATTAATACATGTTTGCAATGCAAAAAGTCATCTTATATACATAAAATAAATAAATGAGAGACGTATTTTTAAAAAAAAGAACTGAAGAAACCAGTATGTCTGCACCCGTAGGAAGTTGTATTATCACCAGCAAGGCGAGTATAGACTGTGTCTTTATCTTGGCTCAAACTATTAACAAACCCTTCTTAAGTGACCAGACAAACAGTTGCTTGTACATAGCTCTGTGGCCTCATAGATGGGTGGTGAACGCACCGTGGTGAGGAAAGGATGAGACTCTGCTTGTTTTGGCCGGACTAACTAAAGGTGGACAAATTCCTGAGTCTATCTCCAGCTCCCACACCCCCCTAGCCCCCCACAAAGCACAAATGGAAACTGCTCCTGAGTTACACCAATGGTAACTGATTCCGTCAGACTCCACGATTTCACCAGCTTTAGTGATAGGAAACATTTACCCGCGGGGAGATCTTAGTTGTTTGGTAGTTTCTTTAAAGCTGTTTAGGTGATCATCTGAGGCTGTGTTCTTTCTGTTTCCCTGATAATGGGTCATGAATTTTCAGAGATGTTTGGCTCATGGCTCATTTACCTCAAGATTACACCAGGATTACTGGAGTAAGTGCTTAGAAACTTTGTGAGAATGATCCTTTTCTGGCCTTTCAAAGGCGCTGTGTTCACCATTTAAATAATATTCTGCGACTCTTTTAATGACAACTGGGATCACTGCTAAGTGATGGCAGTCCTTTTACCATTTTCCTTTTAATATGCTCCCCATGTGATCCTTGCTCTCTTCAGTTAAGAGTCAGCTCAGGGCTAATTATCTTGTTGACAGTAAATAAGTTGGCTAAAGTGCCAGACTGTGTCAGAATGTCTCCAGAGTAGTCAAATTCAGCTCAGCCGGGGCCTGCAGTGGGAAGTATTTTGGAGAGAGGGTGGGGCACAGAGACTCAGCATGAAAGAACAGACCAGGTCATCAGAAATCGCTTGAAAGGAGGTCAGAGTTTAATTCTATTATTAGTTAACATATGAATCATCTGGGACAAGGAACCAAGAAGTCGGATGTCAATCTTTTGAAATGATCACACTTCAGATGAATTGTATGATCTTCTTGGCTTTGACGTGCATAAGAGCATTGCTGTATTGTGCACCAGAGTGGTACACTCGTTATTTAACGATATGACAATTCAGTGCCAGACTGCCATGGTAGGACACTTTAGTGATATATTGTGCTCCCAAGTCTATCTGTGTTCCTTCGGTATGGTTGTATGATTGTTGTAATTCAAGCAATGGACCCTTTCTGAGTACACTGAGCTCTATGTCACTCTTAGGGGGTGTCCTATCACTCTCCATCAGTAACGGACCCCACGCTCACAGCTGATGCTCTGGACAAAACAGTTGCAGAATTCGACACTGTAGAAGATCTGCTCAAGCACTTCAATCCAGAGTCTTGGCAAGATGATCTGGAAAATTTGTATCTGGACACCCCTCATTATAGAGGCAGGTCATACCACGACCGGAAGTCCAAAGGTAAGAAGCAGAGTCTTGGATGTTCTTCATCAGTGAGAGAGTTCGGAGAAATAATAGAATCTGTAATGTAATCTATTTCATTCACTCGAGTCTGGTGAGTACTGTGTGCCACAATATTTTCAAATTAGGTTGTGTGTTTTGTCCAAACTGTTGTTTGTGTATGGCTGAAAAGGACAGACCATAGTTTGGAGACCTCATGAAAAGTGTCAGTGGCCTATAAAAATGGTATAGTAGGTAAAGAGCTTGCCTCAAAGCATCAGGACCCCAGCTTGGATCATCTGCACTCAAAAAAAAGGCAGACGTGACAGCAGACACCCGCAGTCCAGTACTGGGCTCGCCGGTTAGCGGCTGTAGCCACACAACAGGGAGAACCCTGCCTCAAAACATTAAGACAAAAAAAAAAAAAAACGAGGTAGAAAGCGACTGAGAAAAATCCCCGGCATCAAACTCTGACCTCCACATGCACTTTAACATATGTCTGCATACACAGATGCACACGCACACAGATGCACACGCACACAGGACATACCTACACATAACACACAACAGAAACACGAAATCAAACATCTAGGCCAGCTTCCTACTGCAGGTCAGTAGGCTGGGTGGCAGTGGAGAGGAGATGAGCTTCCCGGTCTCTGGTTTACACCAGTACAGCCCATGTGATCAACCACTCTGCTTTTCCCACAGCGGACCGCGTTGGTGCTTGGAGCTGGAGTGCCCGTGTAGGGGCCAGAGGGCTGCTGTGAACAGCCGGGCCTCTGCACCAGCTCATTCCTACCCCTTCAATGCTGGCTCGCTCAAGCACACACGGCACGCATGTTGAGCATACCCTCCTTCCCCCACCATCCCCTTCTTGGACATCCCCCCTCCCACACGCGCTTCTACTGTCGTGGTCTCTGCATTTAAGACCTTACGTACCTGTATGAAATATAAAAGCCATAAAGGAAAAAGAAATGTGAAATTCGCTTTCTGAGGTTAAGATAATATGATTGTCTGCAGTCACACGAATCTTTCTGCAGCTGACAATGTTGGTTCTTATCCATATGTGACTCACAGACAGAGAAGGTAAGGGTCCCAAGAGAGTGGCGGTTTGAAGGCATATCTGAGCCCCTTTCATCGTAAGCTTGAGGGAAAGAATAATGACGGAGAAAGAGAGTGTTTATACAGAAAATTTGAGGACAAATAATAACTCTAACACTTTAAAAATAAAAATCATTTATGTTGTATATTTATCACCCAGAAGACTGACATACTCTTAGAGAAAGAATGTGTATTTAGGTGTGTGATCAGTAAACACGGCTATCTCTAGTCAAATTAGTCAAATTCCTAATATGTGTTTGCTTTATTTGATAAGATTTGTTATTAAGTTTTGCTAACAGGTCTCATAGGGCTGTGTCACATAGCTGTGAAGGTGTTCAGCCAAGACATGGCCTGTTTCCCACACTGTGTAATGTCAAGGGCATTTCCAGGCTCTGGGCCCAGGCTGCTCCCACACAACCCATGAGAATGCCAAGCCTGAATGACTAATTATTAACTTCTGTCAGGGTTTTCTGCTCCTGGCTTAGGTCATAAATCTTACATAGTAAGGACAAAGGAGGTGCAGGCGCCCTGGTGTAGCCGAGATGCGCATATGCGATCTGTGTGACAGAAAAGGAGCGTCCTCGTCCGAGGGGCTCGGACTGGATTCAACTCAGAGATGGCGTTGGTTTTATTTAAGGCATTGCTGTTCTTTGGTTGGTCTCCATTAGGTCAACCCGAGGCGAAGGAGAGTAGACCTAAGTCTTGGAAATCCCAGCAGAAAACATTTTTAAAATATGGTCTCAGACACAGAATTGGGGGCGTTCGACTCTGCTTTCAGGCATCTCAGCAGCAACAACTGCTGAAGGGAGGTACTTGATGCCTCTTCCCTGCAGACACTAAACTTAAAATCGCTGAGTGGCTGGGAAGTGGCAGCTCACGCCTTTAATCCCAGCCAGGCAGGTCTCTGTAATGAGGACAGCCTGGTCTACAGAATCTACAGAGGGAATTCCAGGACAGCGAGGGCTATACAGAGAAACCCTGCCTGGGGGGAAGGGGGGGTGATGTGGATATCGCTGAGTCCTATTTTTTTTTTCCCTGAAACTTATTTTATATGGGGAAATCTGAATTCAAATGCTACCCTTATGGGCTTTTGTGATATTTTTTAAATGACCGCTCTTTCTTGTGTCTCTGGTTCCTCTTGATAAGGTGCATAGCAGCTGCTTGTGAGGGCTGTCCGGGGAGCCTGAAGTGTGTCCACCATGTGACACTTGTCCAAGAATGTTTAGCTAGCTCTACCAACTTCCAGTTCTGAAATATGTGTGCATCACTTCCTTGGTGAACCCATTTTGTGGCTTACGCAGTACTTGAGATGCATAACACCAAACACAGAGAAAACTTGGTGGTTTCTTAAAGGGAGTAAGCAAACCCAGGGCCTTACCTTTACCTGAATCAATAGTTTTATGGGATGCATTATGAAAATCAGCTGCATAGTCCCACCTCAGGCATGTTGACTCCAAATCTTTTTTTTGTGAGTTTACATTAGTACATACGTATTTTATTGTGATTTCTGAAAACAGCAAATAATAAAGGAGTATTTTTTTAAAAGGCACTACAGGCTATTTAATACAGTATGTGGATTTTTGTCAAGATAATTAACAAGACTTTAACAGACAAATGAATTCTGCCATTGACTATAACAACAAAAAGGTACACACTTATATGATCAGAAATGAATGAATTTTTTAATCTATTAGGTTTTCCTAATGGAATAAGCGGAGAAAATGAAAACAAAAAATAAAGCAAAACACCACCACTGCTCATCTACCTGTATTGAAGCAACAGTCAAGATGGCTCAGCGATTACAGGCTAGGCTCAGAATAAAAAATATATGACTCCAAATCTTTGAGGGCAGAGGCTGGGACACTAATGGTCTTTACTGACTCTTTGGGGTGTCCTGAAAGCCACCACGAAGACAGCATTCATCCCATATGTCTAATGTGCATTTCATTCATGACTGGATATTTGATGGATTTTTGAGGCGATGAGGATTGAACTCGGGGCCTTGCACACACCTACCAAGTGTTCTGCCTCTGGCTCTTCACTCCTCCTCAGTCCATCGTGCTTCTAAAATCTGCAGTGATCCACCCACAGACCCAAGTGTTGCTTTGCTAACAATGCCTTTGGTTACAGAAGTAACTGACCTTGCCAGAGCACTCAAGACAGTGTTGCTCTTGATGTTTGTGACACAGTAAACAGCTTTCCTCTCCCTTGTTGATTTGGCTTCCATTCCCTAGTCTCAAGTATAAAACACCCTGAAGGCAAACTCCCTACACCTTTCATTTAACCCTGCCAAGTCACCACTGCCTTGCACTGGAAAAATGTGCTACTCTGTCATCCCACCGGGGCGGAACCACCTGCACAGGTCACAGAGGAAGGGAAAGTCACTTTAATATTTCAGCTGCTGTTTGCTGCCTTTAGAACTTAAAAATACAAGCCTAGGGCTTGGGTCCTGATGGTCAAGGAGGGGAATGGTGAATAAGAAATGAACACAGGGACTGATCCAGACCCCCTGAATGTGGTGTCGGTGAGGAGACCTCGGCAATCTCAGGGGCCTTGTGTAGTAGATCAATATTTACCATGGCATAAGAATGAACTTTGGGAGGCCACCCCACAATGAGAGATGCTCTCTCAGCCTGGACACATGGGGGAGGGCCTAGGCCCTGCCCTGGATGAAATGACAGATTCTGGAGATTCCCCATGGAGGGCCTCCCTGGGGAACGGTGTGGGGATTGGGTGGGACACTGGGGGGCTGGTGGAGGGGCAAGGGAGGAGGGGAGGGAGAGGGAGCTGGGGTTGACATGTGACAGAAGCTTGTTTCTAATTTAAATAAAAAATTATATAAGAAAAAAGAAATGAACACAGGAGAGCAGTCATGCAATGGCGACCCCCTCCTTATAAAACCAAGAAGTTCCCTCACTGTCACCATAAAATATGCTAATAATGCTGTACAGGTAAATTAAGTGAATGTTCTTGTGAGCAGCTCACAATATGACCACTGTCGTTTAACTGAAGCTAAACTGTGATTCATTTAAGTGATGTAACTGTAAACTTAGGTGCAGTGTATATTTCCCTAAGCTCATAGAACAAAACTAGACATTTCTACATTAAGAAGCAATTAGTCCTAGGTCATGATGAATTTGGATGTTAAGTAAGATATTAACAATGCAGATAACAACTAGCTCCTTGTTTCTTGAAGGAAAATTTGTTTTTTCACAAGGACAATACCATGTCATAGTAATGCCCAAAACACGGTGTCAGAAGAGAAAGCCTGCCCACAGTGTAAGTGCTGTAATGGAATTATAAGCAACACCTGTGGTCAGCATGCTTGCCTGCAGTGTACAAGGACAAGAGTTCAATCTCTAGCAACACACACACACACACACACACACACACACACACACACACTGGAGGGGGAGAGTATAAAATGCTAGCTAATGTCTTGGCCTGCTCCAAATTAAAAGTTTATGCACTGTTAACAAAGCATGTTCCTCTCCAGAGAATTCCCCAGCTGTGGATGCGCGCACCACCACTGTTGGCATGGGCTCCCTGCCCATAATTTAACACTAAGTGCAGCAAATGCCTTGCTTTTCAATTCTTTACAAACAGCACAATGTGAAATGTACAGCTTCACAGATGCTAACTAGTTAGCCATGGTAACTTTGGGATGGTTCCCAACCATACCTGAGGATCTAATATCAATTCTGTCCATTTCGCCATTACGTTTCCCTCTGATCTCTAAAAACATCTGACTCTACTTTTTAAAATAAGGTCAATGATAAGCACAAGAAACTGAAGAACGGATATAATAAATGTGTCATATCAAGAAGTCTCCAAGTGTACTGAGGTAGTAAGTATTTGAGAAACCAAGTGTTTACAGCTTTCTCTAGTTGCTTATTTAACCCCTGGGTGAAAGTTGTTTT